CCCCTCCGGCCGAGAGAGGGGGTCCGGGGGCCAAGGACCCCCCCCGGCTTGGGGACCCGCAGCGCGGCGGGTGCTGCCCCGCCGGGACGGCGGCAGGTGAGCGGCGGAGCGGGGGGAGCGCGGCGGGGTCCCGGCGGCACAACCGGAGCCTCTCGGAGCGGCGGCGGCGGCTCAGCCTCGGGGGACCCTCCGTCTCGAGGGAGGGCTTCGCTTCTCACGGGGCCCCCCGTCGACGCGGGCACAGGGAGGGACCCCCCCAGCCCCTTTCCTCCGGGTGCCAGAGCCGCTTTTTTCCCGATTATCCTCCCCCGTTAGAACAACCTCCGTCCCGGCGCCCGCGGGGCCTTTGGCAATGACCGTGGCGTTCCCCGCAGTCCACCCGGGGTGAGTGGGGTGGATTGGGGGTCGTGGGGAGAACCCCCAGAGCCAAGTGGAGCCGCCGCCGGAGGGGAGGGGGGCGACGCGACAGCCAGAACCTCGTCCCTTCCCCTCGTGGCTCTCATCCATGAGTGGGTGCTGCCGCGGGGGCTCTCTCGGCGGGGAGAGGAACGTCCTGGCTCCCCCCAAAAAAAGCTTTGTTTAAAACAAAGGCGCTGGGAGCGCCGGGAAGGGCCGGGAGGTAACAGGCGGATTCGCTTCCACTCCAGACCCCGGCCCTGGCCAGGTCCGAGCCCTCCCAGCTGCGATCGCATCCTCCCGGCTTTTTCCGGGACACGGGGTGCCTGCTCGGAGCACAGTAGGACCCTCTTTCCCCAAATCCACCGGGACACTGGGTGCTGAACTCATTAGCACCAGTCTGGGGACGCCCCGTAGGGATAAACCACACACGGACGTAGTGCTGGCTGATTTATTGCTTGGGAAGTGCGAATTCGGTGTCGAATCCATGAGGACGCGTCCAATAGACATGTCAGGGGTGACGAGGGGGGCTCTGGATCCCCTCCCCCGGGTGAATGGGAGATACTCCGCAGCCCTGAAGATCCGGAGGGGCTGCGGAGGTGTCGGACGGAGCTGCCCAAACCATCCACAGCTGGACGGAGCCCCGGCCCGGTTCCCGGGCAGCGAGTCCGGGGGGGTCCGCTTGGCTTGGGGCCGGCTTCGCCCCCCCAGCCGCAGGGCAGGGTATCTGGTTTCCCCCCCGAGCCAGCAGATCCCGCCAGCAGCGCTGGAGCAGTTGGGAAAAGCCGCCGGCCCGTCCCCGGGGGTCTCCAGCCTGCCGAGGCGGCGGGGCTGTCCCTCGCTGCCTTCTCCCCTCCCCGAAACCCAGCGCTGCGGTTGGGTTTGGGGACTTTTCCAGCTGCCAAGGCTCCCGCTGGGCCAACACCTGAGACAGGAGAGGAGGAGGATGGGGAGGGAAACGTGTCCCGGCGGATGCGGCTCCCGGATTCCCAAGCCCCTCTCCTTGTGCCAGCCAGCGGTAACAGGACAGAGCCCCCGCCCCAGGACAAAGGGGGCACAAGGATCAGGCAGGTCAAACCGCTGGGAAGCCTCATCCCCACATCCTGTTCCCCCTCCTCCTCCTCCTTCTCCTCCTCCTCCTCCTCGCCCGGTGCCCGCAGCGGCTCCGCGTGGGTGAGGCCGTGCCCGCCCTGCCCTCGAGGCCACGTCACCGGGCAGCTGAGCTCACCTCCATCCCACCCCGCGGCCGCGGGTCCCCCGGCCGGCGCCAGGGCCAGCCCGGCCTCCCACTGCTGACCTTTGCGGCCGACAGCCGGAGGAGGGAGAAACGGGGGGCTGCCCGGACCAGAAATCCCGGCTTTAGCCCCAAACCGCCCTCCAGGCGCGGGCTAAGATTCTCCGGCAGCGCCCGGCTCCTTGGGGACACCCCTGGGGCGCAGGCAGGGGCACGGAGCAGCCATCCGGCTCGGCCTGTCCCCTCCTGCCGGGCTGGCAGCAGGAGCCCAGCTGTGGCCGTCTGTCTCCCCGATCCGCTGCCTGGGCGAGGGCGCCGTGCCATGTGCCGGGAAAGAAGACGGAGGAGCGGGAAGGACGCTGGGAGACAGCCCCGAGCCCAGCGGGTGCGAGGGAACACCCCTGTCACCTTCCCTGCCATCTCTGCCATTCTGGATCTCTCCTGGGAGAGGCAGCACAGGCACAGCTGAGCCTGGGGATATCGGAGCCCCCAAAGGGCTGCCAGGCTCCTGCTCCCGGCCCGTATCCAGCCCATTCCCTGGTCGGCTCTGGTGGGAAGAAGGAGGGGTGGCCTGGCCCTGGCCCCCGCTGAGGTGTGTGTGTCACGACCGCAGCCAGCTGCGTCCTCTCTGCAGCCCCATAAAATGCCGAGCCCCGAGGCCAGAGCCCCTCCTGGGGATGCCGGCTCCAGAGGAGCCCGGCTGCTCTGCCAGAGCTGGAACGGACACTCGCACACAATCCCGTCCTCCTCCTCCTCCTGGGAGGAAGGGAAGTAGCCAGTGCTCACCCCAGGAGCGGAGGAGCCAGATCCGGCTGGACCCCGAGCCCAGGCCAAGGCAGGCCTGGGAGTCCCTGGAGCGCCGTGCTGGCGATCCCAACAGAGCCCTGTACACGTGGCTCGGGCCATGGAGCCCCCACAAAGGGCAGAAGTTTGTGTACCTGGAGGGGATGTGGTGAGTAGGCTGGGTGTGAAATCCCGGATAAAAGGCACTGAGCACACCAGACAGGGAAAGGAGAAGGAGGAGGAGAGGCTGTCACCATGTCCATGAGAAAAGGGCTCTGCAATCCCCTTCCCATTCCCCTCTGCTCAGGTGCCAGCCCTGCTCCGCAGCGGGGCCCCTCAGCTCGGGCTCCACGGCCACCAAGCCCGGGAGGAGGGACTTGGGGAGCGGCTGCTCCAGCGGCAGGCGGGAGCCGGCTGGAGGACCCTGCTGTGAGCACGACTCGAGTTCCTCACAGCCACATCCCCCCGGCTCCCTCGAGGCCACAACTCCAGAGCCTGTCGCTCCAGGCTGGCTGCAAACACAGGCTTGCTGGTTGAGCCGGTATCACTTCCCTGGAAGTGCTCGTGGCCACACTGGAGGAACTGAGCCAGTGGGAAGTGTCCCTGCCCATGGCAGTGGGGTGGGACAGGGTGGGCTTTAAGGTCCCTTCCAACCCCAACCATTCTGGGATTCTATGGACCACCCACGGATACACCTGGCCAGCCCAGAATTTACAGTGTACCCCCACTGGAGAATTCTGGGACACTCCCAAAAATCCATCCCTGGAAGTGTTGCTTGGAGCAATCTGGTCTAGTGAATGGTGTCTCTGCCCATGGCAGGGATGGAACTGGATGAGCTTTAAGGTCCCTTCCAACCCCAACCATTCCATGATTCTATAGGATGCACAGCCAGCAGCACTTCCAGCATGGAGGGAGACCATCGAGCACTACCTTGCAGCATCCCACTTCCCCTGTGACCCCGGGAGATAGGGATCCCCAAAACTCCGGGATCTCGGGAAGCATTGGAGCAACTCCAGGGAGCTGCAGCCCTTCCTGGGGAGCACCGGGAATGCTGGAAGCAGCAAAGGGACGGGGAGGCGCAAGCAATGCTACGGAAGGGCAACCTCGCCCGGGATGCTGCCGGTAATGAAGCGAGGGTCAGGGTTCTGGGAGGCACAAGCACGGACCGACCCCGGCAGAATCCCAGGATGGATCGGGAGGCCCCGGGAAGGACCCGGTGCGGGGCTGAGCGCCGGGAGCCGAGCTGAGGGGCGCGTCGAAGCCCCATTGGCTGAGCCGCACGTCACTCAGATCGCT